GGCCAATTAATCAGACATCATTAATAGTGGTTGCAAGGTGTCAATAGACTGGGTAGTTACACTGGACATCAGGCCAATTAATCAGACATCATTAATAGTGGTTGCAAGGTGTCATTAGACTGGGTAGTTACACTGGACATCAGGCCAATTAATAACACATCATTAATAGTGGCTGCAAGGTGTCAATAGACTGGGTAGCTACACTGGACATCAGGCCAATTAATCACACATCATTAATAGTGGTTGCAAGGTGTCAGTAGACTGGATAGAGGTTTTTAAGAAAACAAAGAAAGCCTTTTTTGTATCACCAGAATCGTGTCACTTATATATATATATATATACTCAGAAAAAATAATTTAGTTGTTACTTTCACTTTCAACTTTCATGGTCCTTATAGTAACTTTCATGGCATTGTTGTAACTTTCATGGCACTTGTAATAACTTTCATGGCACTTGTAGTAACTTTCATAATACTTATAGTAACTTTCAATTAGAGTATTTGGAATATAATCAGAAACTTAAGTGCACTACAAAGCCCTTATAACTAGAACATGTCATAATGCTTAAGTTACCTCTCTAAACATCACTGCAACTTGCCATATAAACTGTTTATTTGTTAGGGTATCACGGAAAACAAAATAATTTTATCTCTTCATTTTGCCAACAAAGTTAATCATACATATGCATTTACAAAGTCAGTTTTTAAATAATTATTAAAATCACAAAACATTTAAACTACAGATTCTTAACCCTATAAATCCTGGACTTTAACCCTATAAATCATATTTTTATAAATTATTTATCCACCAAACTGTTTATTAAACAGTTATTAAACAGATTTGTTGGTTACAGGATGCCTAAAAACATACAAGTTACAAAAAATTTAAACAAGACTTCATCAGTATTGCATTTTAGCCAATGCTAGGGGTGTCCTATATATTGTTGCGTCAGCGAAGTCACATGACTAGTGTCACGCCACGTTTCTAGAACTATCCTGTACCTTGGCGAATGCTCTAGCATTTACTAGATATAGGGTAGTCTGGTATATAAAAGAGGGTGACAACGTGACGGGACAATAATGTGTGTGTGTAGACAGTGAGTAATTGATCTGCAGTCAGAGAAGTATTGTTGACGTTCGTTGATACAGCGTTTGTTTTAGCGCGATTGTTGAAAATAAGTGTATCGTAAAGTTGTATTCGGAAAGAATAAACCAGTTTTATTAAGTAAGGACTTGTGTCGCTAAAGTTTCGTCGGAACGAAGTTACGGAAAATCAATTAACAAACGGAGACGTAACAATATTTTACCTAGGAGATGAGTGACTTTAACTAACTGTTTAGGACAGTACTTTCCTCTCGGTGTTAAAACAGACAAAAACATAGGATTACTAAATATGATGTAATGTGTATTCACCATCTCTAGTAAGCTACTCTTTTATCAACAAATAGTGTAACTGACCATCACATTACAACACTCCCACAGTTTAAAGTGTAAGCATGCTTTCTGACAGGGATTTGAATCTGCAGATTGCAAGTTGAACATCTTAACCACCAGGCCATGCCAGACCTATCCATTATTCAATAGTAAGCCAGGCCTGTCCATTATTTATTAGTATGCCAGGCCTGTCCATTATTTAATAGTATGCCAGACCTGTCCATTATTTAATACTATGCCAGGCCTGTCCATTATTTAATAGTATGCCAGGCCTGTCCATTATTTAATAGTATGCCAGGCCTGTCCATTATTTAATATATGCCAGACCTGTCCATTATTTAATACTATGCCAGACCTGTCCATTATTTAATACTATGCCAGACCTGTTCATTATTTAATACTATGCCAGGCCTGTCCATTATTTAATACTATGCCAGGCCTGTCCATTATTTAATAGTATGCCAGGCCTGTCCATTATTTAATACTATGCCAGGCCTGTCCATTATTTAATACTATGCCAGACCTGTTCATTATTCAGTAGTATGCTAGGCCTGTCGGTTATTTAATACTATAAACACAATGGCAGCAAAGGACTAAAGCCAGAATTCAGAGTTAGAAACTTTGGCTCCAACAGAACTGCAATTAAAGAACACAAATGTTTTATTGTTGAAACTGAACAGGTAAGCCTACCTTAATGTTACATGCAACCTTTTAATGAATTGAATTATTGAAAATAACATTGGTTAACTAAAATCTATACTAACAAAACTCACAATGGAAAGGTTGTCACACAAAGATAGGTTAAGATCTCTGAACTTGTTTTCTCTTGGAAAAAAAAAAAGAGATAGAGGAGATCTGGTTGAGGTGTTTAACGGAACTGATAGTTTTGGTGCATCATCTTTTTTCAAATTTAATAGTAAGACTAGGGAACACAAGTATCAATTTTTGCAGGGTAGGAGTCATCTTCAGCTAAGACAGCTTTATTTTTCTAACAGAGTAGTTTAGAATGGGTAGCCTTAAGATGTTGTAGATGCAGTAAATTTAAGCGAATTTAATAGAATGCTTGATAAGTATTTGAGTGATAAGAGCTGCCTTTGAGGTTGTTTTTTTGTTTTATTATAGGGTTTAGTTTAATTTAGAGGATAGGACAGCCTAGATCAACCTTTAACCTTTACGGTTATGATAAATACAATTAACTTATCATTTCTGAGCATAAAAGATATATAATCAAAATACTTACTCCTTTCACTACAGCCGAGAAATTATGTTCTTCAAGTGGTTTGGTTGCATCAGACTTAAGCTAGTAAGATAAAGGTAAGTATGATCAATAATTCAGTAAATTTGTACCTAAAATGAAATAATTATCTATAATAACAGTTGGAAGCTTGAAATAAACAAGTTAAAACAGAGTATCGACTGTCCAATTTTGAAATATCCTTAGTTTTCAATACATGTAATGGGTTTGGAATGAAACTGTTACAAAGAAACTACCTACTATGTCAAACGTATATGGATAAAGAAGATCACCAAAAAAATCGGTTGCTTCTCTTGGTAACTGGGTCGGCATGTTGTCTATTGAACAAACAAGAACACCTGGACCAGAAAAGCTATGGTGGAAAAATAATATTTTATACTAAATAAGAGAAAGTCATACAATATAAGTAGTTTTATTTAAAAACAGGTAAGTATTAAGACTTAACAGTGAAGAAATGTTTAAGCTGCTTAAAACAATCTTAGGTGTTTATCACTATAATTACATAATCTGAAAGGTTTAACTCTCAAAAATCAAGATGTCGTGCATTCCCAACAAACAGTGCACATAAACTGAGAATTTAACTAATTATAAAGTATGTGAATTTTCACCTCTATGTCAAGTCTTGTGAACATTAAGAAACAACATAGTATTACTTTTATGGAAGCATAATGGAACTTCAGTAACACATACAACACAGTTCAGTTTCACACGTGACACAGTTCAGTTACACACGCGACACAGTTCAGTTACACACGCGACACAGTTCAGTTACATATACAACAGTTCAGTTACACATACGACACAGTTCAGTTACACATACGACACAGTTCAGTTACACATACGACACAGTTCAGTTACACATACGACACAGTTCAGTTACACATACGACACAGTTCAATTACACATACGACACAGTTCAGTAACACATACAACACAGTTCAGTTACACACGTGACACAGTTCAGTTACACACGCGACACAGTTCAGTTACACACGCGACACAGTTCAGTTACACACGCGACACAGTTCAGTTACACACGCGACACAGTTCAGTTACACATACGACACAGTTCAGTTACACATAGGACACAGTTCAGTTACATGTATGACACAGTTCAGTTACACGTATGACACAGTTCAGTTACACATACGACACAGTTCAGTTTGTGTGTGTGCATGGGTAGAATGTTTGGTATTCTTGGTATTTCAGTGCACAATAACATTACACATACAACACAGTTCAGTTACACACGCTACTCAGTTCAGTTACACATACGACACAATTACAGTTACACGTACGACACAGTTCAGTTACACATACGACACAGTTCAGTTATACATACGACACAGTTCAGTTACACATACGACACAGTTCAGTTACACATACGACACAGTTCAGTTACACATACAACACAGTTCAGTTACACATACAGTTCAGTTACATATACGACACAGTTCAGTTACATATACGACACAGTTCATTTACACATACAACACAGTTCATTTACACATACAACACAGTTCAGTTTGTGGGTGCATGGATGCTTCTTACTACAGACATTTCAATAGTTACCTTTCACTATTCTTGTGCTGGTCTGCATCATATAAACAGAATGGAGTGTCAATCGTTGTGCAGTCAGTCATAAATTCGATAGAGCCACCTGGGTCAGCACTAATGTCACAGATGGCCAGAAGGCGGTGTGGAAGAGCAGGGGTACCAACACTCGTGGGTAACCATGGTGTATAACTTGGCTGCAGGAGATGCTTTGCATCGGGGATAGTAAGCAACTTTGGTGAACCAACTCCCCAGTATATGCCATTTATGATTACAGATGCGTAAGGAGCAATCTGAAATGGTTTCAATTAATAAAACAATAAACCACAAAAAAAAATTATTTTTCGTAACTTAGCAAATACTGATATTCATCTCAATAGTGGTAATAGTACCTACAATATTTGTGTTCAGTGTAAGGTTTCGCTCTTTCCCAAGCAACAATGTGTTTCATATAAAGTTATAAGCCATACACACATAATAAACATTAAACATTGTATAGACTATTTCTTCTTCTGGCCCTAACTAGATTATAACACAGTGTGAGTATGCTAGGCCAATGGTTCCCAAAATTCTTAATCTTTAAAAACCGTTTTTCAACCCTTTGTACAGCTCTGCGTACTTCATATCTACAGGTCATATACTATAGTATTAGCCATACAGATTTTTTAAGATGTTTACAAAAAGTTTGCCAGTACTTGGATGAATAGGGTTTGAAAGCACTGGTGCCTTGCTTAATAAATATCTTCTAGAAGTCCTAGCATAGATACCAGAAGACTTTTATAGTACTCTAGTTTTGAAACAGCAGTTTGGTCATTTGACAATACAAGTTACCATGGGTATCTTTATTTTTCTAAAATAAAAGTCTATTCTTATAGTCTACTATCTAACATATTTAGTAAACAACTTTTTGTTAGTATTTATCTTATACCCTTCCATATTTTCTATTGTAATATTCAGCTGTGTGCATAATATACTACCCATTAACTCTCTCTAGCAAGGCTCAGTCAAAATGACCGACCTCGTAACCATTAAAGCACACATACTATAACTTTTAATACAGTAAGTGCATTAACACGAAATTTGGCAAAGATTGAATGCTATAAGTATTAGACTATAACTTAACAATATGTATATGATAAATGTGTAATTTATGTTAAACTCGAGACATCAAAGAGGGGTGATGAAAAATTTAAATTGGTCAAGTCAGAGTTAATAAATGTCACATATTACACATACAAGCAGAAACTGTGCATTTCTTTAAATATTTACTTTGAATTTAAGAAGTTAATATTCATGCAATATTAAAATTTGATTTATTAACTACATTTTGATGTCTTTATTTGTATGCATTTATAAAGTAGTTAAATTAATTTTTGAATATAGCTCTGTAAAATGTTACGATATCAACACTTTTACCTACCCATATCAAGAAACTTAAAATACATAGTCAAATTAAACACAAAGTAATTATCCACATCCACTGTTTCAAATTTCAAACTATGAGCCTAATTAGGCCTTCACCTTTAATGATAAATTAACTTAACCATTCACTCCTGTATCGGTTTTTTAACAACCTCTAATATGGCTGTATCATAAAACTCCTGTATCACCTTCTTAACAACCTCTAGTATGGCCATATCATAAAACTCCTGTATCACCTTGTTAACAACCTCTAATGTAGATGTATCGTAAAACTCCTGTATCACCTTGTTAACAACCTCTAATATAGACATATCATAAAACTTCTGTATCACCTTGTTAACAACCTCTAATATGGCTGTATCATAAAACTTCTGTATCACCTTGTTAACAACCTCTAATATGGCTGTATTTAAAACTCCTGTATCACCTTGTTAACATCCTCTAATATAGACATATCATAAAACTCCTGTATCACCTCGTTAACAACCTCTACTATAGACGCGGGAGTTTTACAATACGTCTATATTAGAGGTTGTTAACGAGGTGATACAGGAGTTTTACAATATGTCTATATTAGAGGTTGTTAGCAAGGTGATACAGGAGTTTTACGATACGTCTATATTAGAGGTTGTTAAGAAGGTGATACAGGAGTTTTACGATACGTCTATATTAGAGGTTGTTAACGAGGTGATACAGGAGTTTTACGATACGTCTATATTAGAGGTTGTTAACAAGGTAATAAAGTTTTATGATACAGCCATATTAGAGGTTGTTAACGAGGTGATACAGGAGTTTTACGATACATCTATATTAGAGGTTGTTAACAAGGTGATACAGGAGTTTTACGATACAGCCATATTAGAGGTTGTTAACAAGGTGATACAGGAGTATTACGATACAACCATATTAGAGGTTGTTAACAAGGTGATACAGGAGTTTTACAATACGTCTATATTAGAGGTTGTTAACGAGGTGATACAGGAGTTTTACGATACTTCAATATTAGAGGTTGTTAACAAGGTAATACAGGAGTTTTACAATATGTCTATATTAGAGGTTGTTAGCAAGGTGATACAGGAGTTTTACGATACGTCTATATTAGAGGTTGTTAACGAGGTGATACATTGTAAAACTCCTGTATCACGTCGTTAATAACCTCTAATATAGACGTATTGTAAAACTCCTGTATCACGTTGTTAACAACCTTTAATATGGCTGTATCATAAAACTGTATTACCTTGTTAACAACCTCTAATATAGATGTATCGTAAAACCCCTGTATCACCTCGTTAACAACCACTAATATAGACGCATCGTAAAACTCCTGTATCACCTTGTTGACAACCTCTAATATAGACATGTCGTAAAACTCCTGTATCACCTCGTTAACAACCTCTAATATAGACATATTGTAAAACTCCTGTATCACCTTGTTACAACCTCTAATATAGACATGTCGTAAAACTCCTGTATCACCTCGTTAACAACCTCTAATATAGATGTATCGTAAAACTCCTGTATCACCTTGTTAACATCCTCTAATATGGCTGTATCATAAAATTGTATTACCTTGTTAACAACCTCTAATATAGATGTATCTTAAAACTCCTGTATCACCTTGTTAACAACCTCTAATATAGACGTATCGTAAAACTCCTGTATCACCTTGATAAAAACCTCTAATATGGCTGTATCATAAAACTCCTGTATCACCTCATTAACAACCTCTAATATGGCTGTATCATAAAATTGTATCACCTTGTTAACAACCTCAAATATAGATGTATCGTAAAATTTCTGTATCAACTTGTTAACAACCTCTAATATGGCTGTATCATAAAACTGTATTACCTTGTTAACAACTTCTAATATAGACGTATCGTAAAACTCCTGTATCACCTCGTTAACAACCTTTAATATGGCTGTATCATAAAACTTTATTACCTTGTTAACAACCTCTAATATGGATGTATCTAAAATTCATGCACTGTTTTTAAAGTAGACAAAAAAAACAAAATTTATAAATACAATGTATGGTGTGTGTTTGTAGTGTTACATAGCATACATGTTATTTCCAACTTCATAAAAGGAAGGAACACATAATTCTAGTGTGAAGGCAAAGATTTAAACACCAATGATGAAAGAACTCTTATTTAAACAGGTTAAATTGACCCAAACTGGGCCATGTTAAAGGTGAATCTCAAACATATACTATTAACGATTTGTTATACACTGTAAATATCACAATAACACATACAATGGTCAGCTATACACCCTGACCTCATTTTTTACAAAAAAAACACTTATAATCAGATGAAGTCCAAGCTTTTTTCTTTATCTTTTACCCTACATTTTTAGCAAAGGTTGAAAAATAACGTTCTGGATGCTGGTCATACTCTTCTGGGTCAAAACCACCACCTTCTTTACGTTCAAAATGGTCATCTCTGCTCACCACTGCTGAATATACCTTGTTCATTGCTACCGATTGAGAAAATGAAATTAATATTATATACAAAAGGATAAAATAAATAGCTAATTACATGTAAAATATAAATAGAAAATCAAGTCAATCAATCCAAAGGTTGAAATTTCATATTTCATTTCTTTCTGTTTTGCTTATCTGAGAAGTCTTTATGGTAGGATGCCAATCTATAGTTTATCTTAAACTTTACTTAGGAAATAAAGACCATTTATTTAACTGAGTATAATACAAACTGGTTACAAAATAATTGTACTCCAAAATAAAATTTGATCATGCACATATAAAAAAAAGCTTTCACTTTGTGATACTTTAATGAAATACTTTTAATATATATAATCGTCAACATAGATATATTATTAGAAGTTACAATATAAACACTGAACAAAGTTGTTCACTTTCAGTGTATGTTAGTTTTAGTGGTAGATAAATAGATCATTAGCTCTCGTTAAACTGGCTTTTGTTCTAAGTTACCGGTAACACTTGTGTGTGTGATGCAGTGCTTGAGTTCAGCTCATCACTAAAGAAGTATAGAATGAAAAATTAAAATACCAATCAAGGATGAATTAATTGTACGTATAATTTTTTTTGACGTCCAACAAATTGTTTGGTTAACCAATACTTTACCGATGAAGGTTGCTACGTGCAGTCCTGCCATAAAGTCATCTTCTCTTTGTCAATTATCAAGAAACAATATCTAGAGAAGCTTAAAATTAATTTCCACAAAATAATACTAAAAACAAAACATATTCATTATAGCTAAACTGTCTATAACTCCATAAACTTAAAACATGCATCAGTGAAAACATACACAAACGAAAGTATGTTTATGTGTTACTTGATGAGTGGTTTCAGTAATCTGTGATATATAAAAAACTTTAAGGTAGTAAAATTTGATTTCGGGTAACTTCCGTTTCCCGTCTTTGGTAAGTAGGAATATGACTATATGTGTTAAGCATCTAGACCTCTGGTTCCTTCTCATGAACAAAAACTCATACAAACAAATACTGAAAAAATGAATCTCCTTCCTAATCTGGTAATTAATAGTCTTCTCTTCATACTTACCACTTATAGTCATGTTCCTATTGCAGACCAAACGTCACGATGGGATGAGGAAGTAGGCTAAGGTTTTTCAACCACTCCTACCACAGGCTGTTGCTGCCCGTAAAGAAACTACCTTCTAGAATGACCTAGATTGTCACTAACTAGATGTTGTGTTGTAGCAATTCTTACATAAGATTGTGTGTGACTCATTTCTAACAAAATGAAACTTATTTTGAATTTAAAGATATAATTATGAAAATAAGCTATTGTTTTAATAATGAACCCAGCTACTGTCTTAATAATAGACCTAGCTACTGTCTTAATAATGGACCCAGCTATATTAATAACAGACCCAGCTACTACCTTAATAATGGACCCAGCTACTATTAATAATGGACCCAGCTACTACCTTAATAATGAACCCAGCTACTATTTTAATAATGAACCCAGCTACTATTTTAATAATGGTCCCAGCTACTATCTTAATAATGGTCCCAGCTACTATTTTAATAATGGTCCCAGCTACTATCTTAATAATGGTCCCAGCTACTATTTTAATAATGGTCCCAGCTACTATCTTAATAATGGTCCTAGTTACTATTTTAATAATGGTCCCAGCTACTATCTTAAT